GGGTTTATTGTCTCCTTCTTGCTCTGTCTTGCACTCCTTTATACTCCGCCATTCCTCTTTTAAATAAAGAGTTTGTCTCTTCTTCTTCTTGTCTAATAAAAAATAAATTACAATAAGAAGGCAGCAGCATCAAAGCCTCACGAGCAACATCCACCTCCTGCTGCTGCTCCTGCTGCTGCTGCTGCTGCTGCTGCTGCTGCTGAGGGAGAAGAGCATTTAATTGAAGCAAATCTGCAGTTGTCCAGTGAGAGGCTTGCGGCTGCAGCGGCAGCAGCGCTGCTGCCTGCAGCACGCGAACAGCAAACTCTGCTGTTGTCACATACCTGCTGCTGCTGCTGCTGCTGCTGCTGCTGCTGCTGCTGCTGCAGGTGGAGTTGCTGCATTCTCCGTTCGTTTTGTTGAGGCCCTCTACTGAATTTATTTCACGCAAAAGTTTTCCTTGGTGAGACTTCTGCTGCTGCTGCTGCTGCTGCTGCTGCTGTTGCTCTTGCTGCTGCTGCTGCTGTTGCTGCTGCTGCTGTTGCTCTTGCTGCTGCTGCTGCTGTTGCTGCTGCTGCTCTTGGGGGAGTTGGATATCATCCCTTGTAGCCTGCAAATGCTGCAGCAGCAACTTATTAGAAGCTTCTCTGCATGCAAGCAGCAGCTGTTCTTGTGTCTTTTGCGGGTCGCTTAAGAAGCCCCAACGCTGCAGCAATTCTGCTGCTATGGTGTAGATAATAGAAACCCTAGATGAAGCAAAACATAAATTCACCCCGTTCTCGCTGCTGCTGCTGCTGCTGCTGCTGCTGCTGTTGTTGTTGCTGTTGCTGCTGCTGCTGTTGGTGGTGGTCGTAGTGCTACTGCTGCTATTGGTGGTGCTGCTGCTATTGCTGCTGTAAATGCTGCCATCACTGCTGCCGCTGCTGCTGCTGCCGCTGCTGCTGCTGCTGCTGCTGCTGCTGCATGCATGCAGCAGAATATTTTGTATATTTTTTCTAAGTGCATTGGAGCACTTGAGCCGCTTGCAGCAAACAAGCAGAAAACTATCGCCTGAAAGTTTAGCTGCATAAGGGATGCAGCTGAGGCCCCCATTGGGGTGTACAGACACAACAAAGCGCTGCTGGTGCTGCTGCAGCACAACCCCTACCTCATCAAAAGGCTGCTGCAGCAGTAGCCGCTGCAGCAGCACGACAAAAGCTTTAAAAGGAGACAAAACCTTCAGATCTCTCTTAAAAAACAATACATCGCCATTATCTAAACTTGTCTCAATAAAATAATCTGTCGCTTGACCCCACAGCTTCCCATAAAAGGGGCCCCCCATTCCAGTACCCTCTTCCACACTAAAGGGGCCCCCAGAGGGGGGCCCCCCAGAGGAGGGGCCCCCGGAAGGGGGGCCCCCAGAGGAGGGGCCCCCAGAAGAGGGGCCCCCAGAGGGGGGGCCCCCAGAGGGGGGCCCCCCAGAAGAGGGGCCCCCAGAAGGGGGGCCCCCATGATTAGAAAGGGGGGCCCCCTCAAACTGTCTGCGCAGTGCAGGTAAATCTTTATATAAAATGCGGCGGCGGCGGTATTCCCAATAGATGCAGTAACCTGCTGCTGTTGCTGCTGTTGATGCTGCTGCTAGGAAGCCAATCCTGCTGCTCCTACAGCTGCTGCTGCTGCTGCTGCTGCTGCTGCTGCTGCTGCTGCTACTGCTACTGCTGCTGTTAATAGAGGAAGGGCTCCAGCCCTGCTGCTGCTGCAAACTGAAGCAGCGACTCTGCCCACACAAACCCAAAGAAGGAATGCGGCCCCGCAGAGGCAGCACACAGCAGCGCCTGATCATTGCTGCTGCTGCTGCTGCTGCTGCTGCTGCTGCTGTCTTTGCTGCTGTCTTTGCTGCTGTCTTTGCCGCTGCCTTTGTTGTTGTTGCTGCTGCCGCTGTTGCTGCTGTTGCTGCTGCTGCTGCTGTTGCTTACGTCGTTGTCGCTCGTGTTGTCGCCGCTGCTGCTGCTGCTCCTGTTGTTGCTGCTGCTGTCGTCGCTGCTGCTGCTGCTGCTGCAAGGTTGTCTTTGTGCAGCTCCCTCCTCAATATAAAACCAGCGGCTGCTCTAAATATTTATTTGCATGCAAATTGAAGGTGTATATACACCCCAACGACAGTAACAAACTTGTGCTTCCAGCTGCCTCGATGCAGCGAGCCGCCGCCACCATAAACCCTAAACCCTAAACCCTAAACCCTAGATCAGAAACCCCTTAATATTTAGTCTTTTATCTAATGTGGAAGCAAGAAATGAATTGAATTTAGAGAATTTGGTAGCAAACTCTAAACCCTAAACCCTAAACACTAAACCCTAAACCCTAACTTCCGATCTCTAAACCCTAAACCCTTGCTCGTCCGTTGGGCCCCACAGCGTATTTGCTGCAAGCAGCTTCACGAGCAATAGAAGGTATTCTTCGGGTATGAAGAAACAATTTTAGGGTTTAACGTTTAGGGTTTAGGGTTTAGGGCCTAGGGTTTAGGGTTTAGGGTTTAGGGTTTGCGCTCGCGTGCAGCCGCGGGCCCTATACTAGACAGGACAGCAACCTGACCTGCTGCTCCGCCCATCTTTGGGGTTTAGGGTTTAGGGTTTAGGGTTTAGGGTTTGTGAAGCTATGGAGTCTTCAGCCCCTATCCGCGTCGATCTGGCCAGCCTGTGAGGGTTTAGGGTTTAGGGTTTAGGGTTTTTGAGGGCCCCCCAAATATCTTCTATTGCTGCTGCTCGTCCATTTGCTCCTGCTGCTGCAGCAAAGGCGGTGATATATATGCCTCCCTTATCTTTCTGTTCATCTTGCCTGTGCTGCTGCTGCTGCTGCTGCTGCTGCTGCTGATGCTGCTGCTGCTGCTGCTGCTGCTGCTGCTGATGCTGCTGCTGCTGCTGCTGCTGCTGCAGAGGCCCAGGGCTGCCTGAATCTGCTGGAGCTGCTGATTCTCTTTCTTATCATTTGCATCATCTTATAGCCACCGACCTTTCTCCTCTAGAAGTCACCACAGAGTAAATACACTCAGGGCTCTAGGGTTTAGGGTTTAGGGTTTAGGGTTTTGAGAATTCAGTTGGAGGCGGTTCTTTGTTCTCAATGTATTATGCATTATTCTTTTTGTTTAGGGTTTAGGGTTTAGGGTTTGCTGTCTGCGGGTAGGGTGTATGGTTTAGGGTTTAGGGTTTAGGGTTTAGGGTTTAGGGTTTAGGGTTTAGGGTTTAGGGTTTGTGGTTTGTGTGTTTAGCCTTGAGGAGAAGACCCGTCAGGGTGCAGAGCGGTTTATTCATAAATTATTTTCTTTAGAAAGACATTCATCAACTGATGGGGTGTATGTGCAGCTCCCGCCAGCCCCAAAGATAGACACCTTA